AGACATGAATGGATGCCATACTTGAGTGCCGGAGCAGAGGAAGAACTCCATGAGATCCATGAGTTTGTATTTTCTGGAGATATGCGAGACATTCCACTCCCGAAGAGCCAACTCCTCGACGCTGTCATCTAATGGCAGACACCGGCCATCACTGCACACAACAGACACGCATTCATTAGCCGATCGCCAGACATACCGGTGCTCTACAGACCGATAGCAGTCATAGGAAGTGCTCAATAGGAACTCCTATCCACAACTCGCATGCCTTCCCGCATACCATAACGACTACTACCGGGCGTGTGGAGCACCGGGAGGTGTGAGACCTGGACAGCACTTACACCTTAATGGACAGCCAGTCCTTGTATTTGTCCAAATAGTATGTATTGACGGCCGCATAGCCGGCGGCTGGGAATACCGTTCCCGTGAATAGGATCACCTGATAGACGGTCTGGAGTTGGCGTTTGGGAAGTCGTCTCAAGTCGTACCACATCTCCTGCCACTGCTTCCGATTGTCTCTTAGGCTGGTCTTCACGCTGTGGACACATTTGGACGCAAAACGAGACAATTTTGTGGCCAATCGTTGACTCATTGCTGCGGCGGTCGGACCCAAGTGTTCAACACATCAACACATGTCTCGTGTTTACTATTGACTGTCAATAGACTTATGCAATGCTTGCGATCCCATTGAGCGCTACTTTTGAATCATATCTCGAGTTTACACTTAGTTTTGACTTTAAACTTCATTTTGTGCTAATCTTAAGTTTTATATCTTTTAATTAAAGTGTTTTAAATGTTTTAATAAATGAATGAAAAATAAATAAAGCCTTTTAAAAATTAATGTAAACTTTTCTTAAAGTATACTAATTGTGTATTTGTTTGTCAATTCAATTGAGACTAATATATCACTAGTAATAGGAATTCTCACAAATGAATGAATATTTGATACAAAAATATAATTTTCTATTCAGTGACTAGATTTTAATAAATAGTTTCCGAATATAACTTCAAAACTATTAATACATTTGAAACCATTGATGACTTTGAATGCCATCAACGGTTAGCCTCTTTTGTGGACTAATCTCCGTAATTGATAGCAAAATATCAGCACAAGGGGTACTAATATCCATATTCAGGGCACCGGTATGTTCGGTCATATACTTGGCTTTGGCTAACAGCTCCCTATGTTTGCCGTGACCTCCAAGACATTCAGCCAAACATACGCCCAGACTGTAGACGTCGACCGGTTTAGCCATATACTTGTTAGCCCTGTCCGTATTGCCGGGCATTTCTGAGGCTTTGTATCGTTTGGTGCCCTTAAACCTATGGCCCACCACTTCGGCACCGGTAGGGTATAGCCTCGACAGCCCAAAGTCACCCAATTTATACACCAAACCCTTAGCCCCTGTATTCCTATACATA